TCGAGCATGGAATTTGAGCTCCCAGAAGTTTCTAAAATTTTACAGTCCGCTCGAGCGACCAAAGTAGCGCTCGAGCGAGGACCCCCTTTTTCTCAGTCTTCCGCTCAAGCAACCATCGAGCGGGAAATTCATGTATCCAGTACTTTTGTAGACCGCCCGAGCGACGGAAGTTACGCTCTAGCGACCACCCTTGTTTTTGGACCCCCGCTCGAGCGAAGGAAGTCACGCTCGAGCGGAGACCCTTTTTTTAGCAAAATGTTACTGACTCTTCTAAGTGCATATTTGCATCCTCATGCCACTCCAAGTATTCTTAGGCACCATTTGGACTCCGTTAATCATGCAATAAGTTAGAGACGCATAAAGAGAATTGAATTAAAATGAAATTGAATTTCATTTGTACTTTGTTATGTGCTTCGTTTAGGTGGACGTTGAGGCTAAGTGTCACCACAAACCACTGTGAGTAATAACCTTATAAAGATATGTTCAAATTATCTTTACTTTTGAAAATGTTATTGCTATCAAAAAGGTTATTTGATTGATTGAATGAATTGTTAAAATGATTTGATGATCGATAGCATGGCTTGTTGAAATGTTATGACCTTTAATGAATGAAGTTCTATTTTGAAACCATATTGTGGCATCCATTGAATAGAGGCCCTTGCCTGGGGGTAACAATACCATGGCTATAGGCCCTTGCCTGGGGGTAACAATACCATGGCTATAGGCCCTTGCCTAGGGGTAATAGTACCATGGCTATAGGCCCTTGCTTTGGGGTAACAATACCATGGCAATAGGCCCTTGCCTGGGGGTAATAGTACCATGGCTAGGCCCTTGCCTGGGGGTAACAATACCATGGCTAGTAGGATACGTCATCATTGGAATGAAATTGTCGCTTCGTGGATGTACCACAGATAATAGTATTAATGGCTTTTGTTACTACAAAGAGATGCTTTTATGGCTAATCGAAATGTTTTGTTGTGAATTCGATCTATTATGGCGAATGCCCCCCCTAAAAATGATTTAAGATTCATTACGGAATTGTAAGACATGTTTTTGTACTATTGTCGAACTTCATTCATTTAACCTCTGTATTCTATTATTACTCATTGGGCTTTAGCTCATTATTTATTTATATATGTAATTGTAGGTGGGCAAGTGGAGCATCAGGGTTAGATAGCCTCGAGTTTACCCGGGTCAGCCTTTTGTAGAGCTTCCAAGTGAAGTAGCCAGGCTTGTGTGGAGCCATGCTTGTCAAACGGGGTAACAATACCATGGCAATAGGCCCTTGCCTGGGGTAATAGTACCATGGCTAGGCCCTTGCCTGGGGGTAACAATACCATGGCTAGTAGGATACGTCATCATTGGAATGAAATTGTCACTTCGTGGATGTACCACAGATAATAGTATTAATGGCTTTTGTTACTACAAAGAGATGCTTTTATGGCTAATCAAAATGTTTTGTTATGAATTCGTTCTATTATGGCAAATGCCTCCCCTAAAAATGATTTAAGATTCATTACGGAATTGTAAGACATGTTTTTGTACTATTGTCGAACTTCATTCATTTAACCTCTGTATTCTATTATTACTCATTGGGCTTTAGCTCATTATTTATTTATATATGTAATTGTAGGTGGGCAAGTGGAGCATCAGGGTTAGATAGCCTCGAGTTTACCCGGGTCAGCCTTTTGTAGAGCTTCCAAGTGAAGTGGCCAGGCTTGTGTGGAGCCATGCTTGTCAAACCCCTTTTGTGTGGATTTATGGTTTTGTATTTGTACATAGTTGGAGTTGTATTTCTGTAAGACATGAATTGTGCTCATGTTTGATGTAACTTGAAACGAAGCCTTGCTTGACATGTTTGTTCTCCTCATATATGCACGGCTCAATGGATGAATTTTATAACATTTTAGACTTCCGCTAAGCCCCGTATTTTATTTTTGAAGGTTTATTTGTATGGAGACTGTAGGTAATCTATGATTACTGGCCGGTCAAGATGCTGAACCTACATGGGCGGGTTTGGGTTATGACAGAGTGGTATCAGAGCACGAGTTATAACTCACTCACTTCTCCATTGAGCTATAGAGGGTCTAGAAGAGACTTCAGGAACGCATTCATGTGCATTTGATATGATTGAGTAAGATAACCTTGTGATTATATATGCAACTGCGTACATGATTATTTTTATATAAACATAAATTGTGTTTGTTATAATACGAAGCTTCGTGTAGAAAATGGTGAGAACTAGAGGTGATGAATTAGAGGAGGCAACCTCCTCAAGACTGGATAGAATGCAACGAATGATGCAAGACAGGGCTGAAGCTATAAGACAACAACAACCACCTCCCCCACCTCCAATGCCTGTACCAACTCCAACTCTAGGGTGTCAGTCGAAGACCTGTACTATTGCCTTAACCAGGGAATTTAAAAAGATGAAGCCACTAGTGTTTCATGGCGGAATTGAACCGTTGAAGGCCGAAGCTTGGGTCTTGGGCATTGAAAAGTTGTTTGAAGTATTCCCATGTACCGAAACTCAGAAAATGCAATTAGCAGCATTCACCCTAGAAGATGATGCCAGACGTTGGTGGATGTTAGTGCGAAATGATAATAAGGATGTTACTTGGGCTCAATTTCTAGAAATTTTCTATGAGAAATATTTTCCCTAATGTGTGCGGGATAGAAAGGCAGCTGAATTCATGGAACTCAAGCAGGGAAATAAGTCAATTGCTAAATATGAGGCTCAGATTACAAAATTAGCTCGCTTCGCACCCCACATGGTAGACATAGAATATAAAAAGGCCAGACAAATTGAAGGAGGGTTGCGTGATCTAATTCTGGATAAAATCAATGTACTCAAATTACCGACAGCGGAAAGAAATGTGGCCAGCCGCAAACAAAACTTCGAATGGAAAGGCAGAAAATAGAATTTTAGTAAGGGAACTACGTCATCAGACAAGAAGTTCAAGTCAGGGAATTCCGGTAATATTGGTTCAAGCCAAAGTGGTGATTCAACATCAACTTGTACTACTTGTGGAAAGAAACATAGAGGTGTATGCTACCGTGCAACAGGGGCTTGTTATCACTGTGGGAAGTTTGGGCACATTGCCAAGGATTGCACTCAACCACATCAGGGTGGCAACCGAGGTGCCACAAGCTCAATCGGGTCAACTCCCACAACGAAACCAGCTGCAGCATCACCCACCACAAGAAATGAACAAAGGCAAGGAAGGGTTTTTGCACTGATTCCGGGGGATACTCAAAATACTGAGGTAGTGGTGTCAGGTACAATCTCCATTAATGGTAAACCTGTTTATATTTTAATTTTTTTCAGGTCTACACATTCGTTTATTTCTATGGCTTTTGCTGAAACCCTAGATAGACCTATGGAAACATTGAACTGTATGCTATGTGTTGCATCACCTGTGGGGGGATCCATGCTATGTTTAACTGTGTTTATTGCAAGTGAATCATTTCTCGGGAATGCTACTTTGTATGCTAATTTGATACCTTTAGACATGGGACATTTTGATGTTGTTTTGGGTATGGATTGGCTAACTAAATACTATGCAATTATTGATTGTGCCTCAAAACGAGTAATATTCCGACCTCCCGGGCAAGATGAATTTTATTTTGAGGGAAAGGGAGTAGTCTCACCACCATACCTTATATCTGCTATGAGAGCCTGGAAACTAATGAATAAGGGTTGTTAAGGGTATTTGTGTTGTGTAATTACCGAACCAACAGTAAACATTACTCTAGACAGTATACCAGTGGTGAGAGATTTTCCTGATGTGTTTCCGAATGAATTACCTGGCCAACTTGTTGATAGAGAAATTGAATTCATAACTGATGTAATACTGGGAACTCGATCAATTTCGAAAACTCCCTACCGTATGTCTACTACTGAAATGAAAGAATTGAAAATTCTGCTACAGGAATTGCTTGATAAGGGGTTTATCAGACCAAGTACATCCCCATGGGGTGCACCGGTTCTTCTTGTTAAAAAGAAAGGCGGCACTCTCCGATTGTGCATTGATTACCGAGAACTCAACAAGGTAACAGTGAAAAATAAATACCCCTTGCCGCGTATTGATGACCTGTTTGACCAGTTGCAGGGGGCACAGATATTTTCAAAAATTGATTTGAGATCGGGATATCATCAATTGAAGGTTAAAGCTGAGGATGTTGAAAAGGCTGCCTTTCGAACCAAGTATGGACATTATGAGTTTTTAGTGATGCCATTTGGGGTTACAAATGCGCCTGCAGCATTTATGGATTTGATGAACAGAATTTTCAAACCTTTCCTAGATGACTTTGTTGTTGTATTCATTGATGACATCTTGATCTATTCGAAAAGTAAAGATGAGCATGAACAACATTTGAAACTGACTCTTCAAACACTTAGAGCAAAACAGTTGTATGGGAAATTTAAAAAGTGTGAATTTTGGCTTGATAAAATTGCATTTTTGGGGCACATTATTAATAAGGATGGTATATCTGTGGATCCTCATAAAATTGAAGCTGTTATTAACTGGCCCACCCCAACTAATGTATCAGAAGTTCGTAGTTTTATGGGATTGGCAGGGTACTACCGAAGATTTGTTAAAGACTTTTCAAGAATTATTGTGACATTAACTTAGTTGACTTGAAAAGGGGAGCTATTTGAGTGGACGAATCAGAGAGAAACAACCTTTCAAGAGTTGAAGACAAGACTGACTACAGCCCTAATCCTTACTATTCCCTCAGGTACCGAAAATTTTGTGAGTTTTAGAGATGCATCCTATAAGGGCTTGGGTTGTGTTTTAATGCAGAATGGCAAGGTTGTTGCATAAGCCTCTTGACAGTTGAGACCACACGAGAAGAACTACCCTACACATGACTTGGAACTTGCTGCAGTTGTGTTTGCATTAAAGATATGGCGACACTATTTGTATGGGGTCAACTGTGAAGTATATACAGATCATAAGAGTTTGAAATACTTTTTCACACAAAAAGAGTTGAACATGCGTCAAAGGCGATGGCTTGAATTAATCAAAGATTATGACTTGCAGATTCACTATCATCCGGGAAAAGCTAATACTGTAGCAGATACACTTAGTGGAAAGAATGTGGGGAATCTTGCCTGTTTACTCATGGATCAAATAGAGCTACTGCTGGAGTTAGAAAAACTCGAAATTGAAGTGGTGCCTTTTGAACAAAATGGCTTGATAGCCATAATGTTTGCCCAACCCGCTATTATTAAAGAAATCAAACAGAAACAGCTGGATGATGAGTTTTTGAAGAGGATTTGTGATGAACTTGACACCAAGCCTAAACCGGGGTTCCTAATTGAAGACTCTGTGTTGAAGTATCAAGGGAGATTGTGTGTCCTGAATGATGCAAATTTGAAAAGGAAAATTTTGGAGGAAGCTCATAAGTCAATGTTTACAATGCATCCAAGAAACACCAAAATGTACCAAGATTTAAAGTTAGTGTATTGGTGGCCCAACATGAAAGGGGAGATCGCCAAATTTAACTCTAGATGCTTACAATGTTAGCAGGTAAAAGCAGAACATCAGAAACCAGCAGATCTGCTTCAGTCTCTTCCTATTCCGGAATGGAAATGGGAACATATCACCATGGACTTCATTGTTGGTCTACCTCAGACACCTAGAGGTATGGACTCTATTTGGGTTGTAGTTGATAGATTGACTAAATCTACTCACTCTCTTGCTGTAAAGACTTCATTTACTGTTTATAGACTTGCTACTATCTACATTGATGAGATTATTCGATTGCATGGGGTTCCAGTGTCTATTGTATCAGATAGGGATCCTAAATTTGTTTCCAGATTTTGGCATAGTTTGCAGGAGGCAATGGGAACATAATTGAGATTTAGTACAAAATTTCATCCGCAAACCGATAGGCAAACCGAGAGAACTATTCAGACCTTAAAAGACATGCTTCGTATGTGTGTACTGGATTATCAGGGAAGTTGGGAAACTTATTTTCCATTGGCCGAATTTGGTTATAATAACAGTTTTCACGCGAGTATCGGTATGGCACCATATGAGGCACTATATGGCAGAAAATATAGATCGCCGGTTTGTTGGATAGAGGTTGGAAATAGAGCTATTTATGGGACTGAACTGGTGCAGGAAACAACTGAGAAGATCAAAATCATCCAGCAAAGGCTCAAAACTGCACAAAGTCGACAGAAAAGTTACACTGATCAACGAAGAAGGGACTTAGAGTACAAGGTAGGAGATCATGTATTCATCAAGGTGACCCCAATGAAGGGGCATACGAGATTTGGTAAAAAAAAAAATTGACTCCTCGCTACATTGGACCGTTTCAGATTCTTGAGAGGTTGGGTCCTGCTGCCTATCATATCACATTGCCACCGGGAATGGAACATGTGCATAATGTTTTCATGTATCCATGCTTCGGGGGTATCTCAGAGATCCGTTCCATGTAATTGATTACCACCGGATTACTCTAGACGAGGATATGGTGTATGAAGAATGGCTCGTACAAATCATTGATCGGCAAGTGAAGCAATTGAGAAACAAAATTATCCCTATGGTGAAGGTTGAGTGGAGAGAACATTATGGGAAGGAAGCCACTTGGGAGAAAAAGGAAGAGATGTGGCAACAGTATCTGCATTTGTTTTCGTCTGAAGGTAACTCAAGTTTGGAGGACAAAACTTTTTAAGGGGGAGAGATTGTGACGACCCTGACCTCCAAACTAGTACATTATATAATTTAAATAAGTTTAATTGCATGATTATGTTCTTGATTGTGTGATTATGTATTTAATTCTATAATTATCTGTTGATATATGGATTATTTGTTTGAATCGATAACTTAGAGTCAAAAATTGAAAGCTTAGATGACTTCAGCAGCTGAAATTGACTAGCCCAATAGGCTAATTGGAATATTTAGACCTTTATGGTGACTTCAATTGAAATTTGATTTGGATCAAAATAATTAGAGTAAACTGATTGAATTAGTTAGAGTTAAGCCTAATTTATTAATCCTAACCACATTTAATTAGGCTAACTTAATCTCATCTTATATAAGGCTCAATTTAAGCTTTGAACTCATTTTATACACTCCTGGGTCAAGATTTGAGAGAGAGCGGAGAGTTGAACTCAACACTTAGAGAGAGAAAGAAGCGATTGTAGAGAATTGTGGAAGATTGTAGGGTTGGAGCTATAACACACTCGGATTCACATAATAGGTATGAGATTCATCCTAAATTCTTAGAATTGAACCATGTAGAAACTAAGTTCATGGAGTTATAGGATCATTAGAGTGAATTTGAAAAGGTTGAGCATGAGTTGTTATGAATAGGATGAATTGGAGTTGAATTACACACATGCATGCATAATTTGAGTTTGAATCCATGAAGATCCTACATGCATGGCACATTTACACCTTATTTTGGAGAATCCTTCATGTTTTCATGCTTCTCATGCCACTTGATCATATTTTGAACATGGTTTGAAGAAATATGCATAAAATTGAATTAAACATTATTTTACAACTTGAAATTGAAATGAATGGTTGAGAATTGCCATGATTTTGAATAAATGGCCTCAGTTGGAAGTGTTTTCATCTTATACAGTGATTCTCCATGTTTTGTGCCAAAAACCCAAGATTTGAGACTTTGAATATCAAGTTTGAACTTCAAACACAGTTTTGGAAATTCCAGAATTCGTGTTGTCCGCTCGAGCGTGGAATTCGAGCACCCAGAAATTTCTAAAATTTTACAGTCTGCTCGAGTGACCAAAGTGGCGCTCGAGCGAGGACCCCCTTTTTCTCAGTCTTCCGCTCGAGCAACCATCGAGCAGGAAATTCATGTATCCAGTACTTTTGCAGACCGTTCGAGCGACGAAAGTTACGCTCGAGCGACCACCCTTGTTTTTGGACCCCCGCTCGAGCGAAGGAAGTCACGCTCGAGCGGAGACCCTGTTTTCAGCAAAATGTTACGGACTCTTCTAAGTGCATATTTGCATCCTCATGCCACTCCAAGCATTCTTAGGCACCATTTGGACTTCGTTAATCATGCAATAAGGTAGAGACGCATAAAGAGAATTGAATTAAAATGAAATGGAATTTCATTTGTACTTTGTTATGTGCTGTGTTTAGGTGGACGTCGAGGCTAAGTGTCACCGCAAACCACTGTGAGTAATAACCTTGTAAAGATATGTTCAAATTATCTTTACTTTCAAAAATGTTATTGCTATCAAAATGGATATGTGATTGATTGAATGAATTGTTAAAATGATTTGATGATCGATAGCATGGTTTGTTGAAATGTTATGACCTTTAATGAATGAAGTTCTATTTTCAAACCATATTGTGGCATCCATTGAATATAGGCCCTTGCCTTGGGGTAACAATACCATGGCTATAGGCCCTTGCCTGGGGATAATAGTATCATGGCTATAGGCCCTTGCCTGGGGCTAACAATACCATGGCTATAGGCCCTTGATTAGGGGTAATAGTACCATGGCTAGGCCCTTGCCTAGGGGTAACAATACCATGGCTATAGGCCCTTGCCTGGGGGTAATAGTACCATAGCTATAGGCCCTTGCTTGGGGGCAATAGTACCATGGCTAGGCCCTTGCCTGGGGGTAACAATACCAAGGCTAGTATGATACATCATCATTGGAAGGAAATTGTCACTTTATGGATGTACCACAGATAATAGTACTAATGGCTTTTGTTACTACAAAGAGATGCTTTTATGGTCAATCAAAATGTTTTGTTGTGAATTCGATCTACTATGGCGAATGCCTCCCCTGAAAATGAATTGAGATTCATTATGAAACTGTAAGACATGTTTTTGTACTATTGTCGAACTTCATTCATTTAACCTTTGTATTATGTTATTACTCATTGGGCTTTAGCTCACTAGTTATTTATATATGTAATTGTAGGTGGGCAAGAAGAGCATCAGGGTTAGATAACCTCGAGTTTACCCGGGTCAGCCTTTGCAGAGCTTCCAAGTGAAGTAGCCAGGCTTGTGTGGAGCCATGCTTGTCAAACCCCTTTTGTGTGGATTTATTGTTTTATATTTGTACATAGTTGGAGTTGTATTTCTATAAGACATGAATTGTACTCACGTTCGATGTAACTTGAAACGAAGCCTTGCTTGACATGTTTGTTCTCCTCATATATGCACGGCTCAATGGATGAATTTTATAACATTTTAGACTTCCGCTAAGCCCCGTATTTTATTTTTGAAGGTTTATTTATATGGAGGCCGTAGGTAATCTATGATTACTGGCCGGTCATGACGCTAAACCTATAGGGGCAGGTATTGGGCTGTGACATTAACATAGTTACGCTGGACTCCTTTAATCTTTTAATTTATATAATAATTGGCTCTATTTTTATAAAAAAATTCGTTAGTCATATTAATAAAAATAATAATTTTGTCATCTCTTTTACGTTGATATATATATTTTACATTGTATATCGTTGTGTTGTACCTTCAAACCATCTCTATTAATTTTGATCTTATTAATTTTTTTAAAAGAGAAATTTTAAGACATGAATTGTACTCATGTTTGATGTAACTTGAAACGAAGCCTTGCTTGACATGTTTGTTCTCCTCATATATGCACGGCTCAATGGATGAATTTTATAAGATTTTAGACTTCCGCTAAGCCCCGTATTTTATTTTTGAAGGTTTATTTATATGGAGGCCGTAGGTAATCTATGATTCCTGGCCGATCATGACACCGAACCTATAGGGGCAGGTTTGGGTCGTGACAGGAGGGCCACACAAATTCACCTCCTTGGTGCGGCACCAGACACTGTTGGTCCTGGGATGATGAGGTACTATTGGTTCTTGGAGCACTTCTCCGATCTTCAGCCAGCTACTCCGGAGGAGGTCGCCTAGTATGCTCGCGGATTCCTTCTGTATCTCGTCAGTACTACTTTGTTTGCGAACAAGGAAAATACTGCGGGGCTATATCTCTTGGGGGCACTGGTGCATCTTCAGTGGGGTGAGGGAGTATGACTGGGGTGGTGCCGACCTAGCCACCCTATATTGCTACATGAGCTCCGCATCCCATCACAAGGTGTGGACTCGACTTTCTTCTCGCGCCACCCTTTCGGAGAGGCGTGAATTGGTCTCTTACAGTTTGGAATCCTGTCACGGTTCTGAATCTAATCTCACAAAGTGCAATGTGAGATTGATAAACACCAAAGAGTCCAAATTTGACAAATCGTTTTGGAAAATCAATTTTGAATCAAAAAATGCCAAAAATGGACTGCTTTGCCAGATTACAGAGTCGCCACCTAAATATTTTATTTTGGGAAAATTTAGGAAACCCTGACTCGTGCCTAAGGCCACGTGTCCGTCATCACCAAAGTTGTCTTGGCTCGGGAACTTGGGTATGAGAGGTGAAGGTCCTGAAATGAGCACCCCCGTCTAGACGCGCCCCTTGGGCTTTGCTACTACAATTTGGACTCAAATGTCATGGTTCTGAATCTAATCTCGCAAAGTGCAATGCGAGACCGATAAATCACCAAAGAGTCCAAATCCGGCAAATCGTTTTGGAAAACTAATTTTTAAGAAAGAAGTGCCAAACATGGACTGCTTTGCCAGATACAGAGTCGCCACCTAAATATTTTGTTTTAGGGAGATTTAGGAAACCCTGACTCGTGTCGAAGGCGATGTGTCCGTCATCACCAAAGTTGCCTCGGGTCGGGAACTTGGGTACGATTGGGGAAGGTCATCTATGAGCACCCCCGCTCGCCCGTTCAAAGATCGGCCTGTACTAAGCATGATATCTTGTTTTTGAAAACACATGCGTTCTTATTCCGATTAATTAGCTAATCGTACTACGTGATGTACACAACAAACAATT